CAGACCTCTCATTACTATATTCCAATCCAACATAAATTCTATACATTTTTTTAAATTTATCCTTTCTGATTTTCTGAATAGACAACACTACCACATACAAGTAAACATTTCTTTTCTCATATGTTTTACTTGTTGCTTTGATTGGAATGTTCAAAGGAATTTCAACTGATGCTATCGTGGTGGACATCATACATGATTTTATTGGGAAATGTTTTCATTAACTTTTAAAAACAACACATTTTACATTTAGAAGGGACACAAATAGGAAATCAATAAACATTACAAAGGGTTTTTTGCAAAAAATGCTCTGAAGTTACATTCCACATCAAAATAGAGTCAGTCCAGTCACATACCTATGCACAGCTGACTCTTGAACAACATGAGTTTGAACAGTGTAGTTCCACTGTATGTGGATTTTTTTCAAGAAATACTGCAATTATTATTATTTGTATTTTTAATTTTTAGTTCATTCTCACCCAAGGATTTATTTATTTTTTTGTTATTGTTGTGGGGGGGGGGGTAGGAAGAGAGGAAGGGAGGGAGAGAGTGGGTGAGAGAGAAGATACGTGACGTGAGAGAGACACATTGATTGCCCCTGCATGCACCCGACCAGGCCCGGGAATCAAACCTGCAGCCCTCCGCTGTGCAGACTGAAAATCCTCTCTTTGAATAAAGTTTTTAATTGTGGTAAAATTTACATAACATAGATTTTTACCATTTTTAAGCGTACAGTTTAGTTGTTTTAAATGCATTCACATTGTGGTATAACCAACCTCCAGAATGCTATGACTTTGGTTTTATTTATTAAAAAAAAAATAAGATTTTATTTTAGGGTAATTTTGGACGTATAGAAAAATGGCAAGATAGCATGGAGAGTTTCTGTATGCTCCACACCCAGTTTCCCTAATTATTAACATCCTCCGTTCATATGGCAATCTGTCAACAGGAATGGCCCAATACTGATACCTTTTTTTTTAACTGAAGTTTATGCTTCATTCATATTTAGATTTTGTCAAATGTCAAAGGATACCACATTGCACTTAGGCTCCTCTTGGCTGTGACAGTTTCTTAGTCTTTCCTTATTCTTGATAACTTTGACATTTTTGAAAAGTTGGTTGTTAATTTTAATTAAACCTCTTAAACTTGCTTTTCTGCAAGCATTTAGAACAAATCAGTATAACTTTTTCCTCTGGAAGAAGATACAAGCTTAAGCATCTCAGGTTTCGTAGCAATAACCTGAAAATTTGTTCCAGCGTATCATTAAAATTCTTTTTGTTGGCTCTCAGTTCTTGAGTTGAATGAAGAAAGAATTCAGAGGCAAGAACTCTGGCACAGGAGGAAGTTTACTTAGCGTGCAAAGTGACAGGGCACTTGAGAAGCTTTGAATGGGCTGCTCTTCAGGGGCAGAGTGAGCCTGCTGGGCTGTGTGGACCCTGGGAAACAAGTTCCAGAGACAGAAGAAGGGCTGCTGGAAACAGGCTCAGGGGTTTGCTGCCACTGCCTGCTGCTCCCCTGGTTGCAAGTCTCAAGGGGACCCTAAGAGAAGGAAAGCAAAGAAGGCCTGGGTATGTTCCTGAGAGAGCACTCCAACGGGGTCCTTTGTCTTAGGGTTTTTTTTGTCTGTTTCCTAAAGGCTAGGATTCTAGGGGTGGTCTCTGGGGGATCTCAACAGAATATTCATCAGCTTTCCATGTGTGTCCTTCAATAGGATGCTGAATCAAAATGAATGTATAGGTCATTCCCTGGTCAGTCTAACCTTCAAAGAGTGTCACCTAAGGGACCTGGACCACAGGATCTGCCCTAGCATGGTCTGGAATGCATAAGGTAAGGTCTTGGGATTTATTACCTGGTTGTAAATTGCTCTGCCAGTTTGTTTCATTATCTCAGTTTCCCCATTCCATTTGTCAAGGAATATTCCCCTTTTCTTACTGTCCTGCCTCATTTTTACGATTTTCTGTTTTAATTTTTTCAAAAACCCTTTCTTAAATGTTTTAACCATGACATTTACATGTAAATCTGACTACTAGTTTATTTTTTTCTGCCACTTTTGCAGAAAATAATTTGAAAATTTTTCAGGAAGAATGAATAGATGGTAAATTTGATTCTTTTATTCTCAGGCCCCCCCTTTTTTTTTAACCTGCAAAATGGAGATGATACACATCTCATAGAGTTGTTTGCATTAGATGAGGCAACAGCTGTAAGCTTTTAAGCAGAGCTCCTGGCACCTTAGAAGCAATTAATAAATGTTAACTCTTGTTACTGTTGTAATAAGCAAGGATTATTTTGCATGTATAAAGAAATCCACACAAAGACATATGCAGCCCTGACCGGTTTGGCTCAGTGGATAGAGCGTCTGCCTGCAGACTCAGGGGATCCAGGTTCGATTCTGGTCAAGGGCATGTACCTTGGCTGTGAGCACATCCCCAATGAGGGGGTGTGCGGGAGGCAGCTCACTGGTGTTTCTTTCTCATCGATGTTTCTGACTCTCTCTCCCTCTCCCTTCCTCTCTGTAAAAACTCAATAAAAAATATTTTTAAAAAGACATGTACAGTGATGAAGAATAGTGGTAAGGATGGTCATAATTAAGAGGCTTTACAGAGCCACAGAACAGGTGGCATAACCCTATGATCAACTTGCTAAATATGGAAAAGGCCCGAGCATTTCTGCCAACCGTTTTAACCTGGGTGACGCTGTCACCCACAGTCAGAAAGCCACGTGGCTGTCCAAAGCCACAAAGCACATCTGTCCCTTCAGAGGTCACTGGAGTTTGTCAGCTGTTCTGTTCCCTTAGTATGAGTCAGGAGGGTTCTGGGGAAATGCCATCCCTGGTGGCAAGGACTGACAATTTAGTTCAAAGATAAATAAACACATGATAACAGTTAGGAAACATGTCATGTCAAAGGCAGAACGTACCTTCCGGAGAGAGGGATTCAGCATGAGAGTGTTCTTTATATAGACCAGAATTCCTTGGATTGGTTCTCTGTCATTCGTGAGCAAGAGAGAGGACAAAGCGTCATGCCTGACGCCAGGTTCCAGGACTGGGATTTTGTGGGGTGACTCACGCAGCTATATTTACCATTTGCAGCGTCACAGAGCAAGTCCTGTGGAGTCCGGGGAAACCTTCCCTCAGTGGGGGGTAGCAGGGTGGTCCCTTCTTTCCCATATATCTGCTCACAGACCCTTTCTTAGAGATGGTCTTGGAATGGCGGTCCTGTGATCCCATAAAGACCAATGATGGAAACACACATCTGGGTGTTTGGGGTTAACTTAAGAATGTGTTGCTGCTATAAAGACAGACGTTTACTGCTCTTGACCTTGTGAGAGGTCTGTGACCAGTTCGGAGTTGGTCATACTGGGGCCCCTGATCATTTTCCGTGCTCAGCGGCTGGAATCCTGGAACCTGACAGAAGGGGGAGGGGAGTCAGATTGCCAGATGCGTGTGGGCTGGTGATCATTAGGGTGGATATTGCGTTTAAATCTTCTTCTAATGTACTTGTACATGTTGATGGCATCATATTTAAATAACAAATGACGTTGGCTTCATCAATTTTGCCTTTAAAAGCTTTCGCAGGAAAGAGATAAAGGATAATGTGGCTAATAAAGGAAATGCTGATAAAGTATTAAAGAGAACAGAACACTTCTGATGGCTCCTCACTCCAACCGGGAGCCTGGGAAATAAGCGAGCACGAAATAAAACAGCTGGGTGGGCTCAGAGGAAATCAGAGAGGCCTTTTTTTCTCCTGTGCCGTCCCCCACGTAGGAACTGAGAGGAAAAATAAAGCTGCTCAAGTCCGGATAGGGGAACATTTAAGAATTCTAATATTGTGAATAGACATTCAGGCTGAGTTTTCCTTGCGAAGCGAGAACAGGAAATAAATCCTTAGGAAACAACTAAGAGACTAATAAAGCAATAAGAATATTTCCAGGGGTTTAAAGTAAATTGTTTAAGAAAAAAAAAAAAGCAAAAACGGCGTAATGAACACATTTTGTCAGATGACACATATGACAACGAGTACACAGACCAGGCTTCCCCAAGAGCCAGCGAGATATGAAGTGCTTTGAAAATGTAAACATGAGTCAGATGCCTGGCGATATTGCCTTCCTTGGGAAAATAAAACACCAGGACTCTTCTCCCTTTTCCCATTTTTATATTTACCTTCGAATGCAAGAGTTTATTTCTATCCGGTAAACCTGAGGGCTGCCTAATATAAAATGGAATGCCCAAAATTAGACTTCTCCATCTCTTACTGTCAGTTGTGAAAAGATTTGTTTCCCTGGTTATCATTTTTAAATTGTTTTTAAAAATTTCAAACGATAGAAGGTTAAAGAAACATATTACAGCACAGCTGGTGTGGCTCAGTGGTTGAGCATCGACCTATGAACCAGGAGGTCACGGTTCAGTTACCAGCCAGGGAACATGCCTGGGTTTAATGATTTTCTCTCATCATTGATGTTTCTCTCTCTCTCTTTCCCTTTCCCTTCCACTCTGAAATCAATAAAAGTGGTTTTTGTTTTTTTTTTAAATACATAGCCCAAAACTGGTTTAGCTCAGTGAATAGAGCATTGGTCTGCTCAGTGGATAGAGGGTCTTGGGTTCGATTCTGGTCAAGGGCACATGCCTGGGTTATGGGATCGAACCCCAGTAGGGGGTGTGCAGGAAGCAGCTGGTCAATGATTCTCTATCTCATCATTGATGTTTCTATCTCTCTTCTTCTCTGAAATCAATAAAAAAATATTTAAAAAATAATAACATCAATTAAAAAATATATATATATAAAAAATAAAAAGAGAGAAATATATATGGACCCCATGTGCTTACTCCTCCCGCTGCTTCACCGCTGACTACTGTAGACCAGCCTCATGCCATCTATACTCCCACCACTCATATTACTTTGAAGCAAATGCCAGACATCAATACCATTTCAGTTAGAATTCCTAAAAGATTAAAAAAAAAAACTTTTCAAAAAGAACACGAACCTTAATAGCATTAGAGCCTCTTACAATGAGAATAATTCTTTAATTTCACCAGAATCCAGCCAATGTTCCATTTCCTGGATTGATGTGTAATTTTTAAAACAGGTTCGAATCAAAAGGGCCCATTCGTTGTGATTGACGGATGAGTCTCCGAAGACTCCTGAGATCCACGGGCATTGCCATGAGGGCCGCTGGCTGGCTTTCTCTCTCTCCTTCCCCCACCTTCTCGCCCACTCTCCCCTCCCCCCAGCCCCAAGGTCTGACCCAGGAACTGGTTGGCTCCTCATTTCACCCTCGCCTATTCTCTGCAGGTTCCCGTGGCTTGAGGAGTGAGAGGTTTCAGGGTGCAGGAGTGAGTGAGAAGACTGAGTCCTTGCCCTCCTGAAGCTGCATTGGTCCCGGCGTGAGAAACGTGAGAGACACTCGGGTGGGAAATCCCGTGTGATCTGAAAGGAGCGCTGTTGTAACGTTATCCCCAGGATTCGGGAGGGGAGGCTTTTATACAGGAAGTTCAAGCAAAACTGAGTCATGTGCAACGGAAGTGATCACCTTCAGGATATCTGTCAGTTAAGCCAGGTAAGTATTCGCAGACTCAGATCACTGGGGCCAGAAGCCATGGCTGCCAAGCAAAGGGAGAGAAAGTGGGATGTTTCCGTAATACCTGTTTAAAAGAGAATAGGTCATTTAAGCAAAGGAAACTGGGAAAGACCTTTAAGTAGATATCTAACCAGTTATTCAATACTAGAGGCCTGGTGCACAAATCCGTGTAAGTGGGTGGGAGGGGGCTCTTTCCGCCTGGCCCCTCGGGATTGGGCTGAAACCAGCTCTCTGACATCCCCTGAGGGGTTCCAGTTTGCTAGAGGGCACAGGCCAGGCCAAGGGACCCCACTGGTGCTGATGGGGCCAGGGAAGGGCTGCCGGAGGGCTCCAGGGCATGTCTGGCCCGTCTCACCCAGTCCCAATCAGCCAGACCCCATCCTATTATATAGGATGACAACAGTACAAAGACACAAAAATGTCTCCTGGTTCTCAAAGTTTCAGGAATTGGCTCAATGACATTTTTGAGAGATGCTCCACCTACCACCTCCTCCCCATTCATGTCACAGAAGAGAAAACGGCAGCTTGCGGGCTGGGAGCTGGGCCCAGAGTTGAGAGTCACTCACCTGCGGAGTGCTGGGTGAGACACATCGCCAGGCCAAGGCCAGGGCTCGCCATCTCTTTGTTCCTTCTCCTAGCAGGGGCAATTGGGAGGGAATCACACCAGCAATAGAGGTAACGGGGTACCACGCACAGGTCGAAGCTAGAGAGTGCCCTGAAGGGGAGCAAGAACACCCCTCTTCCCTCCTAGGCTCCAGCTGGGCCTGCGGGGTAAGCTGACCACAGGCGGAGGGACGGAGAGGGTAGACATGTATTCATGTTTAATACTTGTACGGGAGCATCGCCAGAAAAAAGTGAATAATAAATCGGTGAGATTCCAGAGCTCATATACCCCCCTACCAGGAAGGGGAGGGCAGGCAGCCAACGTGGGGGAGCGTACGTTTTAGGGGAGTTGAAGGGGCTGAGAAGACTGGCTGGGAGCGGGCCCAGACTGACAGTTGGCCTGGGTGTGGTGCTGAGGCTCCGGCTGCTGGCATTCCTGGGGCGGGGGTTTGTGATAACAAGTCCCTCCAGGAGGGTCAGGCTCCAGGCAGAGGAGGAGGCAGTAAGCCTCCCCCGCCTTTGCCGTTTTCTAGTGCTTTCCGCTCAGAACAATCCATGCTCCAGGGTTGCATGTCCGGAACCCCTCACCATGACACTCGGTCAATGTTTGTGGAGCGCCTCCCTGTCCGGAGAATGCTTCGGGGGTTTCTTTTGTGTTTAAATTAGGCTGGTGTCTCAGATGATTTTCACTATCTACTTGTTCTGCCCTCCTCTTCTGATAGATAAGAAGGGCTTGCTCAGGGTCCCAGGAGGGGTGGGGGGTCAGCGGCAGATGGGCCCAGCACCCCGGCCCCCAGCGCTCCCCGTCCTGTCGGCTCCCCAGGGCTCTGCGCAGGAGCCACTCCCGTTTGGGGTCCAGATCACTGACACAGGACCTGCACGGACAGAATGTCTCCGCCAGATGAGGGAACAGGTTCCCGATGGGAGCGAGTGTGCAAGGAAACGCTGTGGAATGGGTGCCTCCCCGGGAGAGGCGTGAACCTGCTTCCCGGAGTGTCGTGTGTAGGGAACACGCAGCCAGCACACGCTGACCCCCTTAATGGGGAGGCATCAAGCTTCCGCCCGAGGCGCCTGAGAGAGAAAGTGGCCTTTTTTAAAAAACTGTAAACAAATGCCAGCTCCGTTTGTTTTTTGTTTGTTTGTCTATAAAGTGATGCGTGTGCATAGGGACCTTTCAATGGGGCCCTTGATGTAACCGGAGGTGACAGCGAGCACAGAAGCCACTCTCAAAGACAACCCGAGTCCCTTCTTCAAAAGACTCGGTGTCCTGAGAAACCAAAAAGGCGGTGCGGCAGGGGACCTGCTGTGATTTACAAGCTCAGACTGAGCCCTGGCCGGTTTGGCTCAGTGGACAGAGTGTTGGCTTGTGGACCAAACAGTCCTGGACTCGATTCCCGCCAAGGGCACGTACCTTGATGTGCAGGAGGCAACCAATCCATGTGTTTCTCTCACATCGATGTTTCTCTCTATCTTTCCCTCTCTCTCGCACTCTCTCTAGAAGATCAATGGAGCCCTAGCTGGTTTGGCTCAGTGGATAGAGTGTCGGCCTGTGGACTAAAGGGTCCCAGGTTTGATTTTGGGTTGCAGGCCTGATCCCCAGTAGGGGATGTGCAGGAAGCAGCCAGTCAATGATTCTCTCTCATCATTGATGCTTCTATCTCTCTCTCCCTCTCCCTTCTCTAAAGTCAATAAAAATAAATAAAAAATAAAGATCAATGGAAAAATATCCTTCAGTAAGGATTAACAAAAAAGTAAAAAGTAAAAAATAAACTAAAGTTCAAACTGAAGTCTGATTAAGTCCCTGATGGAAAAAAATATATATACTAGTACATATATGCAATGGTTGGGGGAGTGATGAGAAAATTGGACTGTGGGTTGTGTATCAGCCCACATTGGGGGTCATGGGGATTATTGTTAATTTCCTCGGATGTGATGTTGATACTCAGAGCATGGAGGAGAATGTCCTTGCTCTCAAGCCGCCAGCAGGAATATTTATGAATGAAGCTTTGTGATGTTTTGAACTCCCTTTAAGCGATTCACAAAATAAAATGGGGGAGAAATAATGCTAATGTAGAATCAAGGTTAATATTCAGTATATGGATAGTCATAGTACTGTTCTTCAACTTTTATATAGATTAACATTTTCTTTTCAAAATAAAAGTCAGGGGGAAAGTCTGGTGGGAAAAATCTCATTACCAAAACATGTGGCCTCCTGTTTCCCCCACTTCCTGTTTCCCAGGATATCTGCTTTCAGCGCAGTTAGCCGCTTGTCCTGTTGTTTACCTCCAACTTAAAAGCAAAGGCAGATACTGCTATTTGTTGACTCTACAGTGTGAGACCTAACTAATAACTTTGTGGTAGGGTGGGTGACAGCTTTAGCTGTTTTGTATGGAAATCCATGTTCAGCCTGTTCACAGTTATAACGAAACATAGAACCATGTAAGATTAACAAGAGTGCACGGTGATTACAGTGCCTGAATTGTAAAACTACCTTTTTTATTGGACTTAATTGCTTTACTTCTTCAGTTGCTTTGGTTTTTATGAGCTACTGTTAAATGTTTTCTCACCTAAAAATAACGGCTCTAGCCCTAGCTGGTTTGCTCAGTGGTTAGAGAGCCGGCCCATGCACGGAAGGTTGTTGGGTTCCATTCCAGTCAGGGGTACATACAGTATCTTGGTTGCAGGCTCAGTCCTCAGCCAGTTGGGGTGTGTCAGGGAGGCAGCCAATTGGTGTGCCTCTCACATTGATGTTTCTCTCTGCCCCTCACCCCCAAAATAATCAATGGAAAAAATATCCTGGGTGAAGATGAACAAAAGACATAAATGGCAGTTCTGTAAAATCCCACTCAGGCCATTTCCTGGAACGTAGTTTCCAGCAGGCCATGCCCACTCACTGGTCGCCTGCTGTGAGGCGGTGGGTCCGGACTACGTGCTCCCCAGGTTTCCACGGAAACACTGTGTCACCTGGGCCTTCCCCTGCCACCACCTGGAATGCCCATGTGTCTCTCCCGTGTGGGGCCCCGGATTCCTGGATCCCAGTTTTCCCTTTGCTTCCTTATCTTCATAGTCAGCTCTCTGTGTTTTGTTGAGGAGTTGAATTCCATTCAAATTCCTGACTCTTTGTCTGAGACCTTTTCCTCTCTAAAACTTCTTGGGCTATTTTCTCCTATCATGGGTAATCAGGGCTGCTAATTGACTGTAAGTCCCTACAGTTTTTACCTAATGGTCCAGGTCCTACATTTTTTAAATATAACAAAATTAGCTCTCTCCCCCCCCCCTTCTCAGCTCAGAAATCAGAAAAGAACTGGAGGACTGAGGCATGGTGGGCACCCAATAAGAATTGGTTTCCTTCTCTACCGCCCTGAGCACCGAGAACCACTCTCCTGGCATCCCTTCTCGGTCACATCTCTCCCCTCTGACTCTTCCGCCTGGATCTCTGTCCCATGTTCCGATGACCTGGGTGTACCTCCTGCTCTGTCCAGGGTTCTGAGGAGAAGTTCTTGGGAGCCACCAACCAGAAGAAGCAGGCCCCTCTCTCTAAAAGGAAGAGAGGTGAGAGAGGAACGCCAGCCCCACCGTCCCACGGAATCCTAAACCAGGAACCCCCCAGGATGCTTTGAAGAAGAAGAGCCAGGAAGGAATTCATCTTTCATCACCCCCACGCATCATGCCACAAGGTCGCAGGCTTTCTGACCTCTGGTTCTCCAGCAGGGCTGGGACCATTGCACTGGAGAGGAAAAAGCAAGTAGGACACACATATATATGTAAATTTTCAATTTTTTTTTTTTAGAGAGGAAAGGAGAGGGAGAGAGAGAGAGAGAAACATTAACGATTAGAGAGAATCGCGCACGAGGGAGCCAGCAACCCCGCATGTGCCCCTGCTGAGAACTGAGCCACGACCTCCTGGTTCAGAGGTCGACACTCAACCACTGAGCCACAATAGCGGGGCTGGATTTGTATATAGAAAAGGCTTTCTTCCTCCCTAGCCAGTTTGGCTCAGTGGATAGAGCATCGACCTGTGGACTGAAGGGTTTGGGGCTAGATCCCTGTCAAGGACATGTACCTCAGTTGCAGGGTCTTCCCCCGCCTGGGCTCTGTTCAGGGCTCATGCAGGAGGCAATCAATTGATGTGTTTCTCTCACATCGGTTTCTCTCTGTCTTCCCCTCTCTCTAAAAATCAAGGGGAAAATATCCTCAGTCAAGGATTAAAAACAAACAAACCAACTTTCAAGAAAAATCCTGGACAGTGAGTTGCCAAACATGAGTAAATGGAACCAAAAAATCAGAAGTCTCAGCTTGTGCCTGTGCTGTGGTCATACTGAATATCTGGTTGGAGGCCTACTTAACACTCTAACCAAATGAACTACCCCGTTAGGGTTTGATTGTAGAAAATTTGCGAAAAGGCACAAAGAAGGTAAATATCACCTGTATTACCTCCCAGGACTAAACATTATGCAAGTTAATATCTATATTGCTTACTTACAAAATTGAAGTTATACAAAATCTACTACTTTAAAACTTCCTTTATCATTAAACAGGCTGTGATCATTTTTCTCATGCTGAGAAATATATATGTATATATATATTTATTTTAATATATAATATACATATATATTTCTCAGCATGAGAAAAATGATCACAGCCTGTTTAATATATATAATATTATATATTAAAATAAATATATATATATATATTTATTTGGGAGAGAGAGAGGAAGGGAGGGATAGAGAGCGAGACGTAGAGAGAGAAACATTGATTTTTGTGCCACTTATTTATGTATTCATTGGTTGATTCTTGTGTGTGTCCTGGCCAGGGATTGAACCCACAACCTTGGCGTATTGGGACCATGCTCTAACCAACTGAGCTACCTGGCCAGGACCCCGTGGAATATATAAATTTTTATGTGTTCTATTTCAACAAGATATGCTGCATTTTTTAAGTGGGTCTCCCTGCTGGACATCTGTTTCCAACGTGTCACCTTCAGGACAGCCTTGCAGGGAGCCACACACAGGGTGGGGCTCGCCCTGGGGACACAGCGGAGGCACCCGAGGCTTTACCCTGTGACAGTCTGGGCTCCGGTGGGAGAACTCCAGCTTCCTTCCAACACTTAGAGGTGAGCATTCGGAAGAGTAAGACTTGGTCGGTGGGTCCCAAGAGGGAAGATGTGGAAGAGCTATGGGAACGCTGGGGAGACCAGTGTGTGGTGTGCAGAGACGATTTTCTACAGTTTAGGGCAGCCAGCGTGGGTACGGGCAGATTCAGGAGGCAGTGGGTGTCCATGCTTCTCAGCGGCTTCCCAGCGTGGCTGTGTCTGAGAACATGGGAGAAGTCACAATTTATTTGTTTTCTTGGAGCGGAAGGGTTCTCGGGAAAGGCTCCAGAAGTGGACATTTGAACGCAGTCCTCTTGTTATTTCTCTCAGGGCCCGGTGTGTATACATGTTCATAAAGATCATGGCGAACCCCCCTGTGAAATGAGGCATTCAGAGAGGTTAAGGAAGCCCGGTTCCTAACGGAGGCAGTTGAGACCTGACTAGAGGTCCATGCTCTTGGGCCTCACAACTGCTTTGCTCCAGTTGCTGTTATGACTCTTCAGGTCACCGGCCCCTTCTGTTATGTCCAGACCCAGAGGACATGGCCTGTGCCTTCCTTCACTGCAGGGAAAGGAAAACGTTCCCCATGACGGATAGCAATATGGAACACACCACCGCACAGCTACCAGGCAGGGTGTCCTGGGTGTCGCCTCTCCCCGTCGGTGATTTTGACAGGTAAGGGTGGGGCTCACTCTGACATCCCGTGAGTCTGTGGTGCCTCAGGGGCCTTCTGCTCAGGACAGGCCCCTGCTGCAGGGGTCTGAAATAATACTTTTCAAACTCAGGCTCCCTGTCTCCTGTGTGCCTCTGGCTCTGTCAACACAGAACTTGAAACACTGGCCTTCGACCCTGCACTCTAGTTGTCAAGCTGCAAAGCACATCGCTTAGGAATGTGTCCCTGTTTCCAGCACCCCGTCTAGAGGGAAGGGTCAAGGTCTCCTGTGGGCTACAGGGGGGGCCGAGCACCATCTTCAGGTGGCCGGCCAGCTGGCTGCCTGGGGACCCTTTCCACCAGGCGGTTCTCGCCAGAGCAAGTCCGAGGGTCCGAGATGATGTGCCCCCGAAAGGCATCCACATTCAATGCTCCCCGAAGCCATTGGAAACCTTCCTCAGGGTTTGCAACCCGCCCCCAGGCCCCTCCAATCTTCAGGAAGCCTGCATCCTCCGAGGGAGGAGAGGAAGGCCGGAAGCAGATGGCCATCCCCAATCAGCCCAGTGAAGCGTGTTCCTCTCGCTTTTAGCCATTTCCTGGTTTTAGTTACTTGCCTGCTGGTGGTTCCTTTGTTGCAAGAACATTTATTTGGTGCCCAGTATATGCC